GCCCCCCCCCTTCCTCGAGCTGCTGCCGCGGCGCCCGACTATGCAAACCCCTGTAAGGCCCGTGTAACTACAGCCTGTCGGGGTCGTCTCCGATCCACCGCGAACTTCGACCAACGCTTGGCTGCAGCCTGCTCTCATTGCCCTAATAATAGTAATAATCATAATAGTAATAATAATAGTAATAGTAGTAATAATGATAATGGTAATAGTAATAGTAATAATAACAGTAATAGTAATACTAGTAATAATGATAATAGTAATAGCAATAGTAATAGTAATAGTAATAGTAGTAATAGTGATAATAGTAATAGTAGTAATAATAATAATAGTAATAATGATAATCGTAATAGTAATAGTAACAACAATAATACCAATAATGGTAAACTTTTCCATGCTTCTTCTTGGCATTACGGGCATCTTGAGTGCGCATGAGAGGTCTTGGCTACAGCAAGAGCACTTGTCTCCGATCCCGCGAGTTTTTGCTGCGTTCACTGGTTTCTTTGACTTCTGTGTATCTTGGGCATTCCCAGCATGCAATACAAGTGTACCCCTTACGTGGTGTTGTCCGACCCCACAGCTGTGGAGTCCTTGCAAAATTACTCAACTAGAACTCTGACTCTGCGTTGCTAGGCATCCAGTGCGGAAGACGTTTGACAGGACAGTACCGGGACCAGAGGAGGGGTCATAAGCAGCTCGCCGAGGCTGAGACGGAATATTCCCAGCGGATGATCTTCTGGAGACCTGGAAGACGATGTCATCGGCAGTTCGGATAGAAAGACTTGTTTATGATCAAGCTGTTAAACAGCCGCCCCTCTCATGAACCCTACAGCAAATCCATCTCCTTTAAGCGCTTCCCCATCAGGCTACAAGCAGTCCGTGTCAGACTTTACCAGAGCTCACTGGGGCAGAAGCAGCTGTTAACACCGTCATTGGCCGCCTTCGCGCACGATGAAGGGCACTGGGGAGGTGTCACATCGTGCACATGCGCCCCTAAGAAAAAATGCTGCAAACAGAGCTTTGGAGTTGGGTCTAGATGCTAGCCATTCGCAGGGGTGGCCTTTAAATTCCGTCTCAGCTGGTGCCCGATGGAATGTCGGAAGACCACAAGAAAGAGTGGATGAGAGAGGAAGCCCAGACACCCCATGCCTCGTAGTGCTCATCGAGCCTGCGAGCCTGACATCTTGAAAACTAATTACGCAGCGTAGAATCTATCAGCTGCCATTTTGAAGCTCTAGGCTGGATATGGTAGTTTCCCTAAAAAGGGGCCCCAATATAGACCTCAAAATACTATAGTCCTTATTAGGGACCCCCAAAGTAGGTACCCCTAATTTTGGGAAACTCCCATATAGAAATGGCCATGTCATACTGCAAGCTCCTGCCTTGGCAAAGCAGGCGTAGGCTGCCTTGAAGTCATCCAGAATCAGGGAAGCCTGGGTAAGGATCAAGAGGAAGCTTCCCCGAACCGGATACGCATCATGGAAAAGAAAACGGAAACTACTATTTAGGGTTTAGGGTTTAGGGTTTGGGGCCCTATAATGGAGAATCAAATGGAAAAGAAAATGGAAAATGAAATGGAAACGGGGATTATATAGTTGAGGGAACTGAGGCCGAAACCTGGCCCGCTCGAACCAAGGGCTTTGACCAGATCGGATCCTGGCATCCCGACTGATGTGCCTCTTCCTTCAATCCAGTGGAGACTACTTCTACTACTATCTATAATTCTTCCGATTTTTACTATTATTATTAGTATTACTGATAGTATTCCTCTGGGAGATATTGGGATAATGGAAATTACATGGAAACTACAGGGATCATAGGGATTATATAAGGGTTATATAAGGACTATGGGGTGTATATTATGGATAATGGAAAGAAAATGGAAACTACTAAGAGAGGCCATCAAGGTCCCCAGCCTTGTCCGCAGCAGCCATGGCATCTGCGTAAGCCTCACCAGTTTCTTGGTGACTGAAATATACTATAATATATACTAGCTATAGGGGAAATATTAGGGTTATATGGGGTTATATCAGGGTTATTTTGGGATAATATTCAGGTCATATTGGGGTTATAATCCCTATGATCCCTGTAGTTTCCATTTAATTAATAATATCAGGAATACTAATAATAGTAGTAATAATAGGAATATTAATTAAGTATAGTGAAATCAAAATGGAAACTACTCGCGTGAGACTGGTTGCAAGCTGCAAGCCTCCTTTGCGAGGTGGAGCTTTAGGAAGCATGCAGATCTGTTGGAGAGGACCACAGCCTACAGCATTGCCAAGGGATTAATGAGGGTTATAAAGGGAATCTATGAGCTATAATCTAAACTCCTATAGCATCCGCCTTAATAACCCCTATAGTCGTCCTCAATAGAATCCCCTATAGAACCCCACTTAAGGAGTTTAGACTCTAGCTCATGTAGGGATTATATAGGGTTTAGGGCTTAGGGAACACGCAAATCTGCCATTTTGGGCTTGCCTGGCCTCGTCCTTGGACTCCATCATCGAGCGATGGTACAGGGCCCTGTCATTCGGCGCAGACGCGGTTTAGGTTTTTTTTTTAAGCGCCTCTTTTGCACGCCGCAGCGACAAAGTCCAACATGGACAGGCGGTACTCTGGCTTCATCAGCACCCCTGGGAAAACACTCAAGGATTCTCTGCCAAGCGCTTACCACTCAGCGTGTTGACCCCTCCTCCAATGCCATGCACGACTGTCCCCCCTGGTGGCTCACTGGAACCCTAACCCTGGTGCAACAGCAGCCCTGCAACCCTTCAGCTAACAGGAGTTCGCCGCAGGCGAATTTCCCTCCACCCTGGGCAGCCAATAGCTGCAGTCCTGTTCCGGCTGGCTTTCCAAACCCATGAAGGCAGTAACAAACCCATAAATCCAGTACACAAGCCCCAATCCCTGATCAGCCAGCAAGAACCCTGCAGACGTGCCATGGCCTTTGCCACACTCAGAGGTCTACGCCTCCCCTCAAAGCTGCAGCCATGTTCCAGCAGGCTTTCCCGACCAAGAAGTGTAGTTGCAAACCCTGATCATCAAGTACACAACCCCATTCACAGTTTAGCCCGCAAGAACCCTGCAGAAGCAGCATGGCCAGTGTCGCGGTTTAGGGTTTAGGGTTTAGGAAGCAGTAAAACCTATGCCATACACACCCTGGCCTCGTGTACAGAAAGACTGCCACCTGAGCCAAGTGCAAGGTGAGCTATGCAAAGCGGTTCTCCAATCCCATTGTAGTAGTTTCCAGTCTCTTTTCCATTATCCCTATATTACCCCCTATATCACCCCTGTATTACCCCTATATCAACCCTTGAGCCATGCAAAAAGTGGTTCTCCACCAGAAGACTGAGAAGGTGGCCCCGTGAGTGCCCTGCTTGAATGCTAAGGAGGCTCCCTGCAAAGGCGTGGCCCCGCTATAGTGCATTGGGTTATATACAGGGTTTAAGGGTTTAGGGTTGAGGGTTTAGGTGCTATAGTATATATGGGGGATTATAATATATAGGGGTATATATTGGGGTTACATAGGAGTATACATTGAGGTTACATGGTGGTAGATATTAAGGTTGTATAGGGGTAGATATTGGGGTTATTTAGGGATATATGTTGGGGTTATATAGGGGTACATATTGGGGTTATATAAGGGTACATATGGGGGTTACATAGGGGCACATATTAGGGCTATATAGGGTTTATGGCTTAGGGTTGGGGTTATGTAGAGATAATGGAAAATAAAATGGAAGCTACTATACTATATTGGGGTTATATAGGGATCACGGAAAAGAAAATGGAAGCCACTATAGAAACGTCCACAAATTCTGGTTGAACGCTATCCGCCCCGGCCTCCTTAAACTTCTCGATGCGCTCGACAGCTGAAAATGGGGCGTCCGGGTCATCTCCGCCGTCCCGGTCGTTGTACAGAGCGGCCTGCAAAGGGAACCCCGCGATTTGCTGGCCCGTTTCTGCGCGGATGCTGGTGTAGACACAGCTAGCCTCGCACTCTGTCGCCAAGGACAAGAACTGACCCGCCTCAGAGCAGCATGAGTTATCCCCACAAGAAGTAAGTCAAGGCGGCATCTCGCCATCACATGACTTCTCAGGTCGACACCGTCTTTCCGGCGCAGCAGAAACCCCTTTTCAGGGATGTCAAGGCCTTCAGGTCAGGGCTGTGCTACAACTGCTTCGTGTTCCGTCCCGCACTTCTACAACCCCGTCTTCAAGCCGTCAAGGAAGTTGTGGCCGGTGGGGCGTGGAAGACTGCAAGCAAATCTCACTGCTGCGGCAAAACTGGGCAGAATGACACAGAACGGTAAACTGTCATACAAGTAACAACCCATGAGCTTGCCACCTGGCGCTGTCGCAGTATTCGAACAAAAATCAGTGTCCAAGAGGACACAGCCCCGGTAAGCATTTTCATCTGCATTCAACAGCAGCAGCGTTAGAACGAGCTCTCACCTTCGTAAGGAAGAAGCCAAAGCCCTTGCCCATAAACCTTTCACATCAAGAGCCAAAACGCCAGCCTTACCCTTCAGCAACACTTCCCAAGCTATGGTTCCCTCCCTTCTGCAGCTCCACAGTACGCAGGCTCCATCGAAGCAACAGTTTCCGAACGCTAAACCGGAAAGAGGACCTCGCGGTTCTTGGAGAGTCGGAGTTCCGCCGTTGCACGCCGCAGCCAACCCTGCTCTCAACTCACATGCACTCAAGATGACAGTCCCCCTACATAACCCGGCCGTGATGAGATCTTTGCAAGGGCGCTTGCATTCTTCAATAGAGTTCGTGCTCTTTCGCTTGCGCAAGCTTGCGTTCTAGTCGTATCTTGTCGTGTCTTGTCGTGTGCAACTCTGCTCCGCTTTAAGCGGCTGGGCAAGATGAATGATCTTGCTAAACATGGGAGCCACAGATTGTCACTGTATGTCCATGCAAAATTCATGCTTGGCACCAGGCAGCTGTCTCAGACGAGCCCGGTGCAAATTCACGCATGGTAGACCCTAGTATCCTTAAACTTCCTCAGTCTTTGCAGTAACTGCCTTCGCGGCCTCTCCCTTTTCAGACTGCGCTGCTATGCGCAGAGGGTGCAGAAAGAAGCAGCCAAGACGAAAAATGAGGCTCACGGGCTCGGAGAGAGGGAGAATTCTGCCTTCGCGAGGCAAGGGACCCTTGAAACGGTTGGGCCCGGCAGTCTCAACGTCCGGCTGGGCCAGCTCTGCGAAAGTCCAAAAGATGAGCACGAGCGTGAAGATCTGCGACGCCACGTAAGCCGCGCTGAAGAGATACCTGAGCCGGAACACGCAAAACCCTAGCTGGAGCCCTAAGCAGGTGCGCAGAAACAACAGGCCGCACTTAAGTCCAGCCATGGTACCAGGACACTTGCCGAATCCTGCCGACACCTGTCGGATGAACGAAGGCCAGGAGGAAGATCACCCAGAAGAAGAAGCATACCTGGAGGCCAACATAAGGAATGCTGTGTGCGAAGACCGTGTCAACGCTGTGGTCCACAACAGGGTTAAAGATGCCGACCAGCCAAAAGCAGTTTACAAGCAGGATCTGGAAGGCCACAAAAGCCGCGAGGCATCTCTTGCTGTTCTTCCCTTCCCATTCGCTCTTACAGTGCTGGTACACCTTGATCATTGCATAACTGTGCAAAAGGCCGGTGATGAAGAACATTATGGTGGCAATCTCCATCCAACCCGGGAAATCCATTGCTACACAGATGGACCCTTGCCCGAAGACATGGGAGATCTGGTTTTCGTTGGGGTCGTTGTTCCCTGCTAGCCTTGCGCTGATCGGGACAATCAGCGCGACAAGGATGTTGCACCCCATCAAGAAGAGAGGCTTTTCAAGCAAAAATTGCAGTGATGCTCGGCACACCATCGCAAAGCTTCCTGCCAACCCGCTAATAGAGGGTGGACTCCAGTCAATTCGGCACCGAACTAAATGCTGCCAAGCCAACGGCCAACGAAAGATCTAGGCTTGCATTTGCGCACCTGGCTCCTGCACCCCCTGATAATCCCCCCCACCAGATAATAGCACATTTATGGATATAATCAGGGGACCACTCGTTATTGGGGGCGGGAATTCTTCATTGCTAGGGGCATAGGTCCCTATACATCCCCTAAATCCGAAAGAGATTGGGAACCGCAAAATAACCCTAATATGGTAGTTTCCCAAAATAAGGGGACCCCAATTTAGACCCCAATATACTATAGTCCTTATTATAGGGACCCCCAAAAAAGGTATCCCGTAATTTTAGGAAAGCCCCATCTAACCAAAAACTTTGACTCAAGGCTGCTGAAGGCAGGCTTCACGGCAACACAAACGGCTGATTCAGCTGCGTTGCGCCCCAACAGCTACTTGCATTTCGGGTTGGAAGTTGATATAGCAGGCGTTTGATAGGGATTGGCATGTAAGAGGGTTTAAGGTCTAGGGGCCAGAAAACGGACATGGAGACTGAAATGGCAACCGGGTTTAAACATGACCCGTTTTCCCATCCCTATATCAACCTATACGACCCATGTAAACCAAGAAATTCCCTCTGCAAACCTACCTGAGCCATAGTCTTAACTCCTAGCAGCCCCCTTGATCAACTCTATAAAACTCCCCTATATCATCCCCTATATAACCACCCTTTTAACGAGTTTAGACTATAGCTCACCTAGCTGCTTGCCATGCCTTGGGCCACTCAGGCTCCTGAATGGTCGCGTCCTGATGAACCGACATCAGGCAAACTGCCAACAAAACATGAGCTACAAGGGGGGTTACATAGGGAATTATATAGGGTTCCATAGGGTTATATAGGGGATTATATAGGGTTTAGGGTTTAGGGTTTAGGGTCTAAACTCCTTAAAGGGGTTCTATAGGGCATCAATTAGGAGACTATTCTAGGGACAATTTGGGAGGATGCTAGGCGTTTCGACGATAGCTCACATAGGGTCATATAGGTTGTTTCTCAGGGTTTAGGATTTAGGGTTTCGGGTCTTATGATTATGCACGGCTGGGCTGTACCTGAACCACACCCACACACACACGAGGTTCAACTGCAGCTAATATGTTTCAAGAAATCCCCTTTGGGGCCCACAAGGATGGCTGTAAGACAAGAATTGGATCGCACGAGCAACGGCATGCACAGGATATTGACTTCTTGCAGCCGACAATCTTCTTTGCAAACCTTACAGATCGCCTGCTGCCACGATTCTCGGTATTGGATGAACATGTTCTGCACCACAAGATACAAAGGTCCGCGTTCGAGGGGACCCCCAACTTCTGGTGACCGACAGAACCCTTAGCGCAATGTATCGCAAGCGTAATATTACCCCTGCATAAAATCCTCAAAAGATACAGCGGATTCCTGGAGATTGAGGCTCCAGCGACCGCATCTTCTAGGCTCTTGGCCCAGTCGAAGAGCTTGGCATAGACAAGCGCCTGGGCCCCGATGGGGTCGAGTTAAGGGTTTAGGCTCTGATTGGATGGCGACAACTACGGCGACGATGATGCTTCCATGGGTGGTAGTCAAAATTATGGTCCCTTTTGGGATCCCTATTATAATGTGGCACCTAACAGGACCTAACATTAAGGGTGCCCAAAAGGGTCCATAATTTGGACGACCACCCATGTTTCGCTATGTCATGGGGTTCAAGAAACTCGAGTTGCTCTTTCAGCTTCTCTCGGCTGCCATGTGCCTATGACCTCAAATCCTCATACTACATTGCATAGTTCTTGGTGCTCAAAAGGAGTGGGGGATGTCGATACTTACAATCACCCCTTATTTTCCTCCACTTGTCCATGTGTTCACTCGCCCATTGGCCCTCCAGCAGCATGATAAACACATGCCAATCTCCCCGCGAGGCCCCGAGGCTGGAGCTCGGATAGGGGCTCAGACTAACGCGCCACTGAACTGGGATTACCTAGCGGCTTCAGCTGCAGTTCGGCTCAAGCAATTCAACAGAAGGGCCTACATAGGGACGATCGTTGAATATTATCAGGACCCACTTCCCCACTCCCCCACCAAAGGACTGGTCACTAGTAAGTAGCACGCGGCGCTGTCATGTCTCAAATTGGCTTTAACTAACAATCCAACCTCCTTGGAGTCCTCTAGTTAGGGAAACCACCATTTAACACTAGCGCCAAACATGCACGACAAAAACAGGAGCGATCACGGTAATAACCACTGCAGCCACCATCATAATCTTCATGAGAACCCTTAATCCTGCATTCGTAAAAGCCAAAATTAGAAACCTGAAATCCTAAACCCTACACCCTGAACCCTAAACCCTAAACCCTAAATCCTCCAGCCGTCGTTTTCAAGCTCTGGCGCTCGGTTGGACATCAGCGTCGCCCGCTGCGCGGACTCCAAGGCATCACCGCCCAGCTCCAGAGCCTTCCAGATTTTCCCCTTGAAACGTTTGGGGTTTAGGTTTAGGGTTTAGGGTTTAGGATTGGGGGTATATAGGGATAATGGAAAAGAAAATGGAAGCTACTGTAGTATGTTGGGGATATATAGGGATGATGGAAAAGAAAATGGAACTACTGTGGTAGATTGGGGTTAGAAAGGGATAATGGAAAAGAAAATGGAAACTACTATTAGGAGCTGCGCTACAGTGTTGACAATGGGCTTAGCATTTCGAGTCTAGAGTTGCGACCTTAGGGTTCGTGGATCAGGGCTTTGAGAAAGGCCTAAACCCTAAACCCTAAACCCCCCAAATCAAAAACAAGAGGCCTCTCAAGCTTTTGCACCTCTAGGATCTCTAAAGCACATGGAAAAACAGTCCCTATAGAACCCCTAATACATCCAGTTATCATTGCATGTTTCATTGTCTTTCCAATTGATTCAAAAATTCGATCCTAAAGCCATATACACGCTCCGTCCAACTTCGGCTGAATGATTACTAATATCCCTTACTACACTATAACATACTAGATCCCTTAATTTGCTATAACATACTATATTTTAAACTATAGTATAGTATCATATACGGTAATATACCATAACATATTAACGACCCACCAGTAAGCTCAGCCGGTCCTGGCCGTAGAGTGAGAGTGCCGTATTCCATTCCTGGCAAAGCCGCATCTTCAAGTAATACTAGTAATACTTTTGATACAGGGTTTGGGGTTTAGGGTTTAAGGACCTTACTATACTATAACGCTAGAATCCGCAATATATAATATAGGTAGGGTCATGTAGGATGTTTAGTATCCATGGTAATCGTAATAGTAATAGTAGCAATGGCAATGGCAATAGTAATGGTGAATCCGGAATATTGTACATGTAACCGGCCGATTGGCTGTAAAAAGCAACGCCTTTGTGCGAAAGAAACTATATTAACTTAGGAGGATGCTGGGGATGATGATTCCAAATGAGCTATAGTCTAAACTCCTAATATACCCCTATATAACCCCCCCTTTAGACTATAGCTCAAATGAGACGTCGAAGTCAGGTCCGCCGGCCTTGTCTTTGAAGGCTTTGTCTGCGGCTTGCTTTGTCTCCTGGCTCTTCAGAAATCCCTCCGAAGGGGTCGAAGGAAGGCGCCACGAAACCTTGCTCTCAAACCGACTCAAACCCACACCCACGCCCGAAGCCCCGCCTCGCTTATGCGGATTTCTTAAGGTTCAGGGTTTTAGGGCTCAAGGTTTTCTATGCGGATTTCCCAAAACACAGGGTCCCTTATTGGGGGGTCACTCTAGTCAGTATCAGAATCCTTTGGGTATATGCCTAGCAGAACGAAAAACGCAGCGGAAACCACCAAGTGCTGTAAGAGCTTGCACTTGTCAATCAAATCCTCTTCACTGAACTGAAGAACAGCAGAGAACCCCCTGTAACACCATACAGAGAACTCTACGCTCTAAACTCGCATCCTGACCCCATCGTTCTAAAAAAACCCATCATCCCCAAACCCTATCTTCGCCCCCCAAACCCTAACCCCTAAACCCTATAAGCGTACAGTAGCTCTTTGAATCTGAAGCCCTAAGCTTCCACTGGCTGCAGGCCTCCCACGGACGTTGCTCCGATGTGGTGGCTTCAGCATTGGCCTCCGCCTTGGCCTCCGGCACCTGGCATCAGCAACGACAAACACAACTCCTGAGAGGATTCGGGATTAGGATTTAGGATCTATGAAGGGTGTAGGGTTTAGGGCTAGTTTTTGTTTAACCCTTGGGACTTTTTCCTTCTGCCAACAGGGGCGGGGTCTTACTTGGTGCCTCACTCAACCCCTGGGTGCTTCTTGGCATGGCTGCATCAACTCCACTAGACTCATCGGCCCGAACTGCTACCGTGACCCTCAGCTCAGGACTCCCTCCCAGGATAAAGGTTTATAGTCCCCCTGAAGTAAATAGAATATGGGTATATGGGGATCTTATTAGAATATACCTAAACCCATAGTCTATCTACTTAAGGGGGCCAATAGGAGCACTTCAGAACATTGACGTACAAGCAGAATGGTTTTGAACTGGTTTTGCTAAGTACTACAACTTAGCTGACTGTAACAACTCTAGCACAAGGTAAACTTGGTGCCTCCATTGTATGATCAATAGGAAACATTAGGATCCTGTCAGAGCACACGTGCAATATGCAGGACTCACAGGTCTTTCCTGGATTGAAGACCCCATACTTGTCTCCCTTGTCTCGGGGCATAGTGTAGAGTGCGCAATAGTATATCTCAGTCGGAGTGGTTTTTGATTCAGGCGGAATGGAGGGGATGCTTTCACTGACACTTGCCTTTAAGGCTTCTCTGCTACCCCTAACTCCAATTGCCAGGCCTTGCAAACAAAATGCTTCAGAGAGCATAGAAGTGCTTGCCCCAAAACACCTGTAAACCGTATAAACCAATGCAACTAGAGTCCTACATCCAAGCCCCAAACCATCCTCTACCATGGGCACCAAGGCATGCTAGGGATACAATGTAGGAATTGCAGGGAGATTCGGGGATCAACTTAAAGCCTGTGTTGGGACCGTTGTGATCAACTCCCCTGTAAGAGTTTCCCTAAACCCTAAACCCTAAATGCTTGGTATGAAATCCTTCGGAGTGTCTGTAGGCCCTCCGAGACCTCCTCGCTTCCCAGGGCTTCCTCGAAGCCGGCGGGCAGCGGGGCGGCAGCCAGGCCCTGCCAATAAAAGGAGGTTTAGGATTTAGGGTCTATGGTCTTCCCGAGAACTTGCATGGAGATGATCAGCTTTGAAAGAGCTATTGTCTAAACTCCTAGTATCCCCCTTAATAATCATTGTAACACTCCCTTAGATAATCCCCTAGATAACCCCTTTAACGAGTTTAGACTGTAGCTCATAAGGATTCTGTGATCATGGGATCTAACGCGTGTGCTGGGTTGCTGCAGATTTCGTAGGCCACATGAGAAGGGTGAAGGCTCTCGAGGGATCTGTGAACTATTCTATATGTAGGGGTTCGTAAAAGGATCTCATACGGGGAGCTTCTACACTCTTCATAGTAGGGATGAACATCATATTGTATTGTGGCTTGAGCCCCCAATTTGAGCAAACCTCCGAGGATTCCGAAAGAACGCACCAAGACGAGTGATGGAGATTAACAAGAGAACAGGAACGGCTTCTGGTATCAAATCGAGAGTCTCAGAATGTTTGGCAGGTCCGCAGCTTTGGGTGGGTAAGTTTGGGATTAGGTGGCTTTGGGTGCGGCAAACGCTTTGCGCATCAGTAGGGGCTGCTCACACTGTGTAAAGCTAGAATCTGGAACGAAAATGTATTTGCCATCAATAGCATGCATGCTACGTCAAGCTAGATTTTCCACACTGAGCATTGAAATTTCTTGGAAGCTATGAGGAAAGCATCCCACTTGCCCTGGCAACCTTGTACACCCAAGCTAGGAAAACAACACTCAAAGTACAAAAGTTGATAGGAGAGTTGAGAACCTAGCTGCTCACTACCTTGAAGTTGTAGCTAATTGGACCTGTGTGTTGGTCGTAAAAATCTTCCTCTCCAGGCTAGCTCTCTGACTCGTTCACATGACATCAAGCAAGCCTGCACAGCTAACAGCTCTTTTTTGCAAAGGAGGTCTGTAAGTCTTCCTGGCAGTCAAATCAAGAAAGCCAAATGCGTCCTGAAGCTACCTGCCCTGAGGGCAGTCACTGGACAAAATCTGCCGTAGCGTTCTCGGCCTTCAACGGCACGTTCTTCCATTAGTGGCCTCCCTTCTGCTGCACATGCATCGGCTTGGTCAAGAACTCCTCGTAGTAGTACTCGTGGCAGTCAAGGCCGCCCTTCCTCCACGGAGGATAGCCGACGGACTTTGGATTGGCCCAGGCACGCAAGCAGTCGTAGAAGTCCACGAGGCACGGCATGCTCTCTGCGCTTTCTCCGCGAGGTAGAAAGGGGGCTGCAAGCGGGCTGTAAAAATCGCAGATGCTCTTTGAGCCAAAAAACACGCGAATGTGTGATATCTGCGGGCACTGCATGACCTCTACAAGTTTGACAATGCAGGCACATGAGATTGTCGCAGTCAGAACCGTCAGAACATGTCAGAACCGCATCTGCTCCAGCATCGCGGCGCTGACGCTCTGCTGCCGCCTCGAAACCTGGGATCTGCAGCTCTGACGCGATGTGAGCAAAAATCCGCGAAATCTGGGCTGCCGGACGCTTCTGACGTAGTTCCCGAAGGCGCCTTCTAGAACAAACATCAAGCAAGGATAAGCAAAGCCACCTCGAACCGATTTTCCCTCGAGCCTCTTGTAGTCTTTCAGGTCTTTCAGGATGGGTTCCATCAAGAAGTGAAGCTGCTCTCCTTCTTCGTCTTCCAACTCACACTTTTCTTCCTCCGACCTGGAGCAATCCAAAGTCAAAGCATCAGTACAGCCAGTACAGCAGTACCAGCGCCGCTCCAGATCCATGCTTCTTGACTCCAAGGCCCGTACGGACCCGGAGGGATGCTCCACTGCTCAATTTCTTTCTTCCTTGCAGCACAGTAAGGTCTGATAATGATCCCATAGCATCTGCAGGCAACATGATGATTGCATGGCAGGCGGGCTTTCCCTTGGGTCTGCGCACAGCTAACGCAAGCCATGCTGCTGCCAGAAGACCTAACCAAGTTGAAGCTAAGCTGCTTTCGTCGATAGGCCACAAAGGTCTCGTTGCGGCCCTGGTGGCCAATGTATTTGAAAAACGCGCTTGTGTCAAGCATGCCATGAGCGTCTGCAGATTGAGATGATAGCACCATCTACTCAAGCTTTGCCTCATGCTTCCGCCCACACCCTAAGCCCCAAGCCCCGAAAACTTCAACCCAGAATCCCAACCGACGCCTTGCGCCGCTCCTCAATCTTGGCCTGGGCTAATCGAGGAAAAGGTTGCTCAGGTACGCTTGCATCGAACCGTCATGGGAAGGTCATTAGAAGCGCTGCCCGAACAATTTTCTCCTGTCAACTATCTGATGTGCCTTTGGCAGAAATGCTTCGCTATATCCGCTATAGGACACGTTATCTCTCTCGCACCGCCTAGCACTACAGAAACGACCATTCCATCTCCTGTGGGATTTGCACAGCTTCGCCTCTTCCTAAGGAGGCCAAACCTCCCCACCCACTCACTCCAGCTCTTCAGATCCCAGCCTGGAGATCCATGTATCGTTGCTGCTCTGGACCAAACCTCGAACCACTCCCTCACTCAGACCGCTTCCAGAGAACGCCATGAATGCCAGAACTGCAAACCCTTTGAAAAAAGATATACTACAGACCTTGGGCATTCCGCAGCAGGAGAAGCACCCAAAATTCATGATTTCGCATCCTTTCAGAGACCCCATGCCTCTGGTTGACAGACCAGTATGTAAAGCACGTCAAATAATGGTTACTCCAAACTCCAAATTGCAGGTTCCTGGCTTGGCGTTGAGTATAATAAATACATACTGCAGTCCAACTATCCGAACCCACGACGCTCGTGAGCAACCCAGGCGCCATCTCTGGAGCAGCTGGCCGTGGACTTTGTGCCAGGTTAGGGCCTGCATGGTTCGGCTGGCTGGAGGTTTTGGGGACTCCGGAGTTGGGGGGCTGTGCTTTTACACGGCCGCGGTCTGGTGTTGAAGCTTCGGGTCTGGTGGAGACTGGTAGCGAGGGCTACTTCTCACGGCAGTACAGTTGGGAATGCCACTCTTCAGAAACGCAAAGAGCGGAAAACACCGAGCAAGAAACGTAGTAGTGGAGATTGATTGTGCCATGTCCTGTCTGCCCAGGAGGTGGGCTTCGGAGATTATTGGGCTTGATGCAGAGGGCAAGCACCCACACAATATCCTGGGGAAGCAAATTATGGTCTCCTGACAAGACCCAGAGACAAGCAGTGCTGAGCCCCGCACCCACTCGTTTGTCTCAAGCTGGATCCTTGCAGCATTTGTCTCTGGGATGCTGGAAACGAGCTTGGGACAGATCGAGCTGCATTGCAAGTTCTGCAACAGCAAGCCAAGGGCACAAGCACTGAAAGGTGGGGATCGCGAAAGTGAGGGAGGTTTTTGACTTGATTGTTTAGATTTGTTTGCGGGGCTGCAGTCTTCAGACTGCATGCCTTGGCTTGGGGTTGACGATGACCCTCCCAGATTTATCAGCATGAAGCAAAGAGTGGTCATCAGAGGTCAGGGCATTCAAAAACTACGGGTGCGCAGAAGCCAAGCAATCAATCAAGGTGAGGCCCCACATCTTGCTGCTGAGCCACCAGTAGTCATCCGTCACCTTGCCCTTTGCCTTGATCACCTCATCCGTAACGATCCGGCGGGTGATGGGCCCATCCTGCAATAACAAATGCAAGCCGAGACTATCGTGGCTGAGCCCAATCTCACGGGGAACGGGAACAACAAGACTCCTCAGTAGGTCCCTAGATACTATACCCCCAATATATACCCTATTATAGTATAATAGCTTCCATTTTCTGTTGCGTTATCCCCATATAACTTATAACCCATGATAAGGTTCTCCCAGGCCGCCCCTGTGTTGAGAGGCCCTGGGACGTCTCCTCTGCGGGCTTGTTCCGGATGACCATGGCGGGCTTGAAGACCTCGGCTGCGAAAGCCCCTCCCGGAAAAGGGCTACTAACGAGAAGCCAATGATAATAGAGAATCAAACGGAATATCAAATTGGAAAGAGAAATGAAAATTTCAGCATTGCAGGAACGATTGATAATCAAAATCGAGAAAACTTCTTTAAAAAATGAGAGCCCAGCACAGACCCAATGATTCTGGTAGTTGTTGGTGGAGATGAACTCATCCACCCACTTCTTTTCCTGGGGCAGGCAAGCTAGCGCGAGGACTTGGAGCTGAAGCCTGAACCCTCAACACCCTGAGTGAGCTGCGGCTTGCAGTTGGAACTCAAAGGTGGAGCGCAGCCTGCTCTCAATGCCATGTTCAAGAATTACTGCTACCTGCCATTTAAAATGCCAAAGACCTTTCAATCAGGTCATCAGGGCACAGAAACACGCGGCAGTTGCCTTTCTAGAATGTTGCAGAGGTCTCGTAGACAACTCGCAGACAAGGCACCCGTTCATCTCCCGCTCCACTCGCTCGAGCTCCCGCTTCTTGTCCTTCTCCAACAGCTCGCGGAGGAGTCCTTCCTCCTCCTGCCGCTCCCCTTGCCTGGGCGCTTCCGTGGCCAGGGAACTTGAAATTGTGAGCGCCCCTTCATACCCGCTCTATATCTCCCATACCGGTGTTTGTTGGCTCGATTCCGTCGATGCCCTGGTTGCAGCCGAGTTACTGATGCTCTTTCTTCTCTGCCCATCTCCGCTTGGCGGCCTCCAGCTCACCTTACCGAGAGAATGTTAGCCATCTACCATCATCTACTCATCTAGTATACCACCATCTAATCATATACCCATATACTCTATCTACCTAATCTACCTACCTCCATCCTAAGCCATGGGATCGGTGCAGCTGGGCTGCTCTGCTTCTCCCGAATGAGGCGAGTCAACTCCGCCTCTTCGTCTCCCTCCTTCTCACCTTCTACTCTCAGCTCCACCGTCGCTTGTCCCGGCTGGCCGCTAAAGGCTGTTGCAGGCACCACAGGACTCTGTGGCTCAGCTTCCTCGTCGGTGGAGCCTGGATCTGGGAAGCCCTCTGGGGGACCCAGCTGAAAACGTAGCAAAAAGCTCTCGACCTCCGGCCGCTGCCTCCGAACACGCCTCCGCTTCGTGAGCTCGTGTCCTTTTCGCTGCTTCAAAACTTCCTTCACATCCTTCTCCTCCTCGCTCTCGCTGGCAAGTTCCTCATCTGCCAGCGCAACGTGACCTGGGCTGGTGGGGCTCATACAGTAGGAATACATCCGGAAGCCATGAACCCAAAGAATTCCCCAAGCGCCCTCAAACCACCATTGCACCATTGCCAGCCAAGTCACTGGCTTGAGGCAGGGCCTGCCTCAAGAGCCCCACGTTGCAGCACCAACCGTAGTTTTGGGGATTCAGCTGGGCCTGGTGGCCCAAGGCTGCCGCGGCTTTGCCGAAGGCAACCGGGTCAGTCCCGGGCGCAGACTCCCAGATGACGGCCACGGAGGACAGGCCAACTCGCACACCTCCCCGCTCTTTGGCGTCCCCTGCCACGAACTTCCGCACGGGAAATCCGGCAGCACGCGGGTTGGACAGGGCAATCCTGAGGTGAGCTTGGTGGTTGTAGTTCTTCAAATGCCGCTTTGCCACGACATCTCTGCAGCACGGGGCATTCATGGTCGGCACTAGAGGGTTGCCGTCCAGCTGAACGTGGACCGTCACTGCTAGAGGCCCTCGACGCGTGGGTTCTCCTGGGACTGGGAGTCCCTCACCGTCGATCACAAAAGTGACATTGCACGCCTTATTCGGCGCAAGCTTCAGCAAAGGGTTCTGAAACCGGATGAGCACCATGCTTCCTTTGAAGGTTGGTGACCAAGCGGAGAGGACCGGGTCTGTGGCCTTTGCACGGACCGTCAGTGGCATTGCTAATTGCAGGGCCCCAGTTTCTTTGTTGGACTGCCGCAGAAATGCATGCGGCTTGTGTCTAAAGATGACGACCAAGTCTCCCGGTGTGGTGTTGAAGCTTGGCCAGTGGCCATCCCCTTCCAACCGGTACTCGCTGCCATCTGCCTGGGAGCAATGCAGGAATCAACTTGGATGACAAAAGCTTGGATTACGCGTAGTGCTGAAGCACCTGGCCCGGGTCGATTTTGACGTTCACCGTCTTGAGGTTCTGGTTCGTCCCGCCAAAAGCTCGCTGCATGCGGTCCCTCTTCACCTCTCGGATCTTCAGGCCGCCTTTGACAGGCTTCAAGCCAACAGTAGCGAGCACTTATCACGGTTTTCGCCCCGCTGCCTCTAAGCGCTTTCTCCAAGGAGATCTTTATCTCAAATCGGAGGTCTGCAGCTTTTGGCAGCTTGGGGGCCTTGGACTTGAGCAGGTTCTGAACGTCCTGCAAGCTGATCGGGCAGAGTCCCAGAACCGCGTTCCATTTGTTATAGGGCCTCAAATCTGCGTACTGTGACACGTACTACATGTGAGCTATAGTCTAAACTCCTAATATCCCCCCTTAATGACCCCTATAGTGCTCCCCTCTATAATCCTCTATATAATCGCAATGCATCCTTCCCCGCCTCTCCCCGGACTCCTGACCTACCCGCCTACCTCCCATGTTTCTACTTATGGCTTGCTATGGCGCTTCCGGGTTTGGTTTTTGGGGCTGTCCCGAAAATGAGAGCCGCAATACCTTGGGGGGTGGGAAGGTTAGGAGAGCCTGTGTTTGTGAAAAACACCCATATCTGTTGGTCCATTCCCCTCCCCAAAAACTATCCCTAAAGGGGGCTTCATAAAGGGGCTGTTATAACTCCGATTATCCGTTGCGGTAACTGTTACTGTAAGGGGGAATGACCCAACATGTGTGCCACGGCGTCCTGCGCATTGACGCCCGACTCTCGGCCCTCCTTCTTGCCCGACCATCGGCCCCAAAAGTTGGCGTCGCTGTTTGTCTTCTGCGAGTAGAAGGAAGAGTTCATCCCCTGCAGACAACAACCTAGAAGATGAAGCTTCCCTCTTTTATTGCAAGGCTGACAAACACCCCTCGGTAGATGCCCAACTTACACTTAAAACCCAAGGAGTGGCAAACCCGGCGAATCCTTGGAAAGCTTGTGGCATGCGCCGGGAAATCCCCAACCCAAAGCCCAAAGCCCCCTTCTGACCTACCAAGCCATAAACCCTAAACCCTGAACCCCAAACCCCAAACCTTAAACCCACATATAATCCCCCATATTACCCCAATATATAGTAGTTTCCATTTTATTTTCCATTATCCCTATATAACCCCAATATAAACCCATATACCTAAACCCCTCACGCAGCCTGAGACTTGGCCCTGGCTTCATCGAAGCGGGAGCGGTCGTACTGCCGCCGGGTGGCGCGGTCTGAGAGGATCTCGTAGGCCTCGGGGGTACCGCGTTGAAGGGCTCACCGTTTAGGGGTAGGTAGCTGTTGAGAGTGCTAGTTGCCTCAAACGATTGAACTTGAGGACGGAAAGCGCCAACTCTACACGCAAATGCCTGTGCCTGGCATGATAACCCAAGAAAGTGACCTTTGAAGCTGAACCCTGCCCCCTCGCACACCATCGGAAGGTCTCTGCATACATGACTCTGGAGCCTCCTGGATCTTCTCAAACTCATCCTGCGCAGGGGCGGTGTCTTTCAAATAGCGGCCACCCATAAAAGATGTTAGGAACTTACAGAAGTCACACTATTTTCTCTAAAGGGCTTCAAACTGCCCCAAGCCCAAAAACTAACTCTAAACTGAATATCCCGATCCTGCATCTCTCGAAGCTTGTCAGGCTTCTTATCCCGATTCTTGTCCGGGTGGTACTGCAGGGCCAGGCGCTTGTAGGCCCCCTTGATATCCTTCCCAGGATTCAGGTGTAGCCAAGGGGAGATGGGGACGTGCGTTCAAGAAACTTACATCCTGATTTGCTGGAGGCTGACATGCAATGCGCACGTTGCGCAAAAGCCTCAAAAGGTTTGTGTGGAGCCAGGTCCTTGACCGACGCAAAGTCATCAACTTCCAACAGTTTGTAGTAGTCGTTCTTCGCATCGAACTTTCGGATTGGTGCCACCTTGAAGTCTTCCTCGTCATTGGGCTCGTACCCAGGATCTGTTCCTCAGGGAGATGCAGGTTAGTCATGCCTGTTGACATCCTGCCTTCTAGGACAAAAGATCCATCGGAAGGACGAGAAAAGATTGCCAAGCGGCGCTTACGGATCAAATTCCGGATTTTGGTCAGCTCCTCCTCGATATCCTGGGACTTGACCAGGGCCTTGTACAGCCCTGTATCCTCCCACTTAACCTGGGTCATTGCTTTGTGAGATTGCGAAAGGATTCCGGATTCTCTCATTTTACAGCTGTCCGAGTAATTACCACAACCGAAAGCCTAATTACGAAACAGCTCTAAGGGATCTCAAACAGAAACCGAGCATCCTTTGGGCCAGTGTAGACATCCAAATAGTCGTTCTTCTTGGGCCTCTCCTTGGCCTCAGCAGAACCCAAAAGCCAAAGTTGGGCTACTTCCAAATAATACACAGTCACACTGTTTGCCCTTTGAGCTTCTGCAGCATCGATCCCCCAAAGCCTGAACTTGGCAAGACAAGTCGCAAGCTGCGCCTCTTCCTGTCACGTCTGACGAAGCAGACACTTGGAAACTTTGCTGGCGAGTAGTTAGTGAACATATCTGCTTCTGAAGCCGCCCCTTCGTCGCCAGATGTTTTGCCAAACATCAGCGTATGCAAGAGAAAACAGAATCCAAGAAAGCTTTGGAATATGGCACGGCCTCAAAACAGACTCTATACTTGTCCAGTTGTTTCATACCGCCATCAACCCCGGGCATTCTGGTGTGAAGACACGAGGTGCGTGAGCTACAAACATTCACGTCACATCTTTGCCTCTTGAAAAACTCTCCATGCCGGTTGGCGGCTGCTTTAGAAGTTGTGGATGCCATACTGAAGAGGTCATTTCCTTCACATGCTTTAGGCAATGAACTTAATGCGATACCACCTTGCCTGAGATGAACAAGAAACACTTACCATAGGAAGGGGCATCAAGGCAGAATCGCAAGACTAGTAGTGAATGACCTCGCGCCTGCTGCTTTGCCAGCTGGGCATCGAAGGTGACGAGGGCATTGCCACCAGCAGGTGGTGGGCGATCCTCTTTGCGTTGCTGGTCGTCTGGTAGCCCCATTTCCCAACTGGATGAAACTTGCTCATGACCGTCAGTAATCAGCAGAGGAGGTGATGAGGGTAGTTCATGTTGGAGGCGGCAGTTGCAGCTTCGAGAGGGGGTCGAGCCGCTTACTACTATCTATCTGTCTATCTACCTATATCTGTATATATATATATATATATATCGAGTGAAGTTCTAGTAGGGATCCTATAGGGAAAATGGGAAAGAACATAGAAACTACTTGCTATAATGAACATAAAATGGAGCAAAATGATGGAGTCCTTCGGCTTCTGAGCGGCGCTTCCATTGCCGGGCCGGTACATGCCCCTCGGCGAACGGTTTTGCAAGTGCAACTCCAAGCTTCCGCGGCCCAGACCAGGCAAAACGCATATGGACTCAAGCTGCCTAGTCATATTGCTTCAGATCTTATTGCAGGAAGGAACCTGATCTACTATGTGGTAGTTTCCCAAAATGAGGAGACCCAATATAGACCCCAATATACTATAGTCGTTCTTATAGGGACCCCCAAAAGGGTACCCATAATATTGGGAAACCCCTATGTGCAAAGATGTGATCCACAGAGCTTTGCTCCGGATTCGTTGTTCCCAGGCCAGGGCCCAGACCGGCAGGAGGCAGCGGAAAACTGTTGGAAAATCAAGGGGCAAGCAACCCCCTCTCAATGTTTAACTATGTTGTTCTCCTGGCTGCGCATACTTTGGTTGCACAATGCTGCCATCACACCAACAAGAATTCTCCCTTACCTTTACACCTCAAAGGCCTATCTCAGGCACCCATTTCGAAAGGCATCTGCCTGAGGTTTCTACAAGCTCTGAGCCGAAATGCCACGTTAGCGTTCACTTGTTTTGGTTGAGCTGCAACATCAACAGCAACAGTAATCACAAAATGAACCTGAGGTTTACAGGATTTGGGATTTGCGATTCTAATATGTCTAAGGCAGGTCAGAGATTCGCATCGGAAGCACACTGTGTGGCCGGGCAAGTGGGATCGTAAGAGCTCCTTTGTCGATGACATGCGAATGACAAGCTTTGGTCAGAGAGCCACTGTGCCTAAAAGCTGGCTTTGCCATGTGCTTCTGGATTTCTTGGGTTTTGTGCACTGCTGTCCACACGTTCTTTCCTCCAATCACTATAATCTCTGCTGACACACGAGAACGGAGGGCTGCATAAAGATGGTGCTAGCTGCCGCTATGCCGATACCGCCAGAAGCGCGCTCAAGTTTCGCGGTTCTGGCGGATGATTTTGAGGAGCTGAGGTTGTGAAACGCCCGCAGACCATCATAGGCTGCCGTACCAAATGATCGAACTACAGAAGTCCGCTAGCACTGAACTCAGCTCAGAAGCATCAACTGCATCTTTGCAAACATGTGCCAAGGCTGTCTTTTATATGTCGTTAAAATGGATGCCAGGCCTGTTAAGAAGCATCTGAGAGGGCACGCAACGTCTGATAAGGGCTCAAACTCGGAGCATGAGAAGCTGCTTCCTGCTTGTGTTTTCATCCCGTAACAGCAGTAGCATCCTTATAACCTATACATCTACTATAATAGTTACTACAGTCTCAACATTGATATAATGCTTGCCAGGGTCAATGCTTGCAAGCCGCTCTCAAGCCTCCGATCAGCTGCTGCCAGCCACCAGGGCGGAGGGTGGGGCCTGGACACTTGCAAGCAGTGCAATGGGTGGCACATCCCTTTATTGCCTCTACTCTTTCAAGTTCGGAGTTTGGAAGGTGTATCCAGGCCTGATTGCGGGCCGAGGTCCTTTTGAGAAAAACGGAACCCTCGTCTTCACACGCGCTGCAGACAGAGACATCGTTTCTTCATGAAGGACTCGATTCATCTCACCCAAGAATGTATAGGCGAGTTTCAAAGGCCCCAAAGAGGGGTGACATTCTTTGGTAATCCATCTGACAAGAATGCTAGAGCAGTAAGACAAAGTGACGCCAAAATGCAAGCAGAACCGCTTCAATATCCCAGGGCTTTCTGACCACAGCCTTCTGTGAGAGAGTGTCAGGGTGCTGTCCCGCGTCGCTCCCCGAAGGGGTCAACGTCAGGTCATCACTCGCTATGACACTTCACAGACAAGATGGTCGGAAACTATTTGGGGTTCAAGGTATATAAAGCGGTCCGCCAGATCCATCACAACTCGCCATTTTATAACACTTGCAGACTTGCAATACCTCAAGTTAGGCGAACTAGGGAGAATAAGATATGTTAACAACGTTTCAGGTACATTGAGGTCAGGTCTAGCAAGGCCACATGATCGCTTCCTGCAACCTTACTAGGAGCCCGGCTGCAATCGTCTGAGGCGGCTCTCGAGGTCCCGGTGTTCGGGCCGACCTGACGACGGCTTCAGGTTTGGGCGACGCAAAAGCATCAACCCCCCACTAAAACAGGAAGGCAGCTGGGCTCTCGGCTGAGGTCGCCTGCTTCGGTTGCCGCCCTGCCTCAGCACAGAGTCACAGGTGAGGTTGAAAGAAGAGCTGAGCTCGAAGGCTGCCCACTCAACAAGACTCACTAGGATACATCTTGCCCACAAAAGCACACAGCCGAGCTTTGGGCACTGGTGGCGCGGACGGCGGTCGCACGGGAGTGGGGGTGGGGGTGAACGGTCTGGGAATCTGGCCTGCCCACCATGTGACAAAGCACCAGGTATGGCCATGCCAGACACACCAAGCAAAGTGCCGCAGGTGACAAAACGTTACACAAATCTATGGGACAGTATGCTGCAAAACGAAAAATCAGCCTGCAGGCATCGTGATGCGAGGATCTGGCCTGCTGTGATCAGCACTGTGCGACATCAGCCAATAACTCTGTTGTCACACTCCGCTAGTTGGGCCCCCACTCAAAGACTCTCGGGTTTCCCGGGTAGCCCTTTGCCATGTCCTGAGCACCGTAGCCCGATTGAGATCCCTCTGTCAGATGTCAATGTGAACATCGCACTTCCATTTGTAACATGAAGCAAGCGGAGCTGTATGACACTGCTCAAACACCAAAGGCTCAGCTATCGGCATACATGTGAGTACCTTGGCTGTACTGCACACACTGGACGCAGCTTGGCGTCTAAGTCTAAGTGGCAGATGGTGGCAGAGTTTTTGACTTTAGACTGCATTCCAAGTCCCTAAAAATTGTCTGCTGTGCCCCCTGGAGCCTACCTGTACGTGAGATTATGTGAGCGCTAGGGACGACGTGTGGAAAGTGTAAACTCTGATGGAAGTTTACAATTTTGCGAGGGAGTTCCAGTCATTGCTGCAAGGTGTTTGTAGCAGCGATGAGTTCGCAAACCCATACCCATCTCATCCCATCCCAGCCTCCCAACTCCTGAACCACAAAGCCCAGCTAAAAGCACATTGCCTGGAGATATCCTGAGGCTTGCCCAGCGACATGGCCCTCTCTGTTTCTGAAAAACGCGTCGATTGTGCTCGTAGGCAACCTGTCCAGAGATCACTCGTCTGCCCAGCAAAGCAGTGCAGCGCTGTGTTGACGTCTGTACCAACAGGCAGTTTGTCAGTCATGGGCTGCGGCTTCCGAAGCGGCCTTGACGTGGGGGTTCGGCCGAGTTCTCCCCGCACAGCAGAGATCCACGAACCTATGCCAAAATGCAAAAGAGATGGTGACCGCTGCAGTCCCTTGCTTACTCCTGCGTGTCATAGAGCCTCATCTCAACACGAAACGGTTGGTGGACACGACAAGCACATGGAACACATGATTTGGCCATTTCCTCAAAATTTGAATTCATAAAATCTGCCGCTGACCAAGCAGGACCGCAAAAACATCGTGCTTTTGGTCATAAGCGCGTGGCTCAGCAAGCCCCTTGCGACGGCCTCAGTCTTGTCACTTTGCTAGGATTTTCGGGAGCACTGGAACTTGAGTGGCAGGTCGTTTCTTCTCAGGTGTTCCCAAAAGTACTGATAAAATTTGGCAGTCTTTCACAATTTTCCCCTATCGGCGCAGACATCCCTTTCGCAAACCCACAAATGCAGGTTGAGATCGTCCTGGTTCACTCAGGGCCCAACCTTTCTTAGGCGGTGCAGCTGCCAAACGGCGCACCATCTGGGCAGGTGAGATGTCATTCGGTGGTCTGAAGTTAAGTTGTTCCCCGGCCTCTCGGTATTCCTGTGCCTGCAGCAAGACAAGGGTTCCGGGCGCGTGTGCGCTCAGCTCGCCAGCACTGAGCACCAAGCGGACGGCTCGCACTTTTGCACATTGCCGCCTTTATTCACAAAGATTTCCACCTGCAAGGCTGCCCAATCAAAAGCAGCAGTAGCGTTGCCAGTTGCCTAGCTGCACAATTGTGAGCCTATTGACATTCCATTGCACTGCACTTACGGCCTCGTGAGTGATGGGATTGTACCGGAGCTCCTCCGGTAAGAATTGCCTTAGCACATGTTTGCCTTTGCTGCTGGTTACACATTCGCTCAGTGTCCCTTCCTCAAGTTTGTCAGCAAGCAGTTCTGCTCAGGCTGTGGCCGATTGGGTGCCCAACCAGCGTCCTCTCAGATCAGATCGATCAGTGGCCCCTTCGCTCAAACCCTGTTATCAAGTTCAGACCCCAGTACTGCAAGCTGATCTTAAGAACCCATCATAATGTGTTGCTGTGTTGCAAGACAACAGGTCAGCTAGATATCCAGGAGGACTCCCAGACAGGCCTTAAAAGACGCAAGCTGAGTTCTGCTACAATTTCCTTCTGAGGGTCCTGCTGGGTCTATCCCATTTCGTGGTCCTCTAACCTCTAACAATCCATCCTAAACGTCTGCCGAGGCCCTGCACAGCATGAATTTGAGGGCTGCCTTACTAAGAACTCTTTCCAACTTAAAAGCAAAGAGCTGCCAGTATGAATGCGGCAACACGTGCACAACCCCACAAGCCTTGTCAGGCCTTACCCTTGAAGTGTCCTCAGTATGCTGTACAAAACATGGAGGCTTCAGTCCTCCGCCATGGCCACGTCTGGGCCACCACCCGGGGGCTGAACAGCAGGATGCAGGCTTGGCTTGGCTTTCTAGCTGGGCTGCACCCATGGGCAGGCTCAGATTCCATGGCTTGGCACATCACTGGCACATCCACCCAGCTGATTACTTCAAACTTCTGCTGGGCTGGCCTTGCAGTGGACCTCTGCCACGAGCGCCTCATCGGCAGATTGCCACGCCTCAGATCCGTGCACCAGCCATAAGCTATACCAGCTATACCATACCAGCTGCAGGTATGCGCGTTCGTTTCACCCAAGGATTGGATTGGCAGCAATCTGGTCCATGAGGGATGCTTGCGGGATAAAGTTGCAACTGACTCACCCTGGACGTTACCGAGCATC